ACTATTGCATTACTTTTCGGAAGATGGTTTTAAACAGCGATTACGTAACTGATTTTGGTGGTCATGCTAGGTTCGTGCGTACAGATCATTAGCTGAGTCGATAAGGCTCCCCAAATCCGCTACGTAGATCACATGAAGGTGAAATTCGCTTTTGCATAATAAAAAACATAGCTAAACGCGGGTTTCACCTGTATACTTTTGCAACGTACAAATATTGATCGAAAAAGCACGTTAATTTCGTCCAATAAAAATGTATAAGAAATTAAAATGAAGTGAAATTTATTTTTATCGCTACCTCTGGTCAGCCAATCAAAGTGCAAGATCAAGTTAACGTGAAATTGAAGCGATTGTATTTTTTTCAAAAAATCGGTTATAACTCTAGAAAACCGTCTCGCGTTCCAACAAAAAAGATTCCTCACCAAATTTTGAATTAGAACCTTTTATTATCGCCCTAATCTAACCTTAACCCTTATCCTAAACTAACGAGTTATTAATTCAATATTTTGATTTCACGCTACACCTGATCTTATAGGGTGCGATGTATTGCATATGCGAAAAAAATTAAAATTCTTTTTAATATATAACTTTACCATGAAATTTGACAATGATGGCCTTTATTAAAAAAAAAAAATGAAAAATTTTACGCTAAATTGAAAAAAAAAAAATCCAATCCCAAAAATTCGGAATAAAAGTATTAATTAAAATTGAAATAAATTATAAGGGACGGCGAATCATGAAAAATCAACTTATTTTTTCAGTAATATAATGAATAGGAATTTCTCATTTCCTGAACATTCATATCTCCATTATTAATATATTGATCATACATGATTTACGGTACCATAATTTTATTTATTTATTTATTTATTTTAATTCAATAATTGTAGTAAGAAAATTGTAATCTTGAAAATCGCATTTTTGTATATCTAAGCAAATGCTCCGAAAAAAAGAATATATTTAACATAGAATGTTTTTAACCTAAGTAATAAGTTAAAAATCAGCATAAATATGATATCATCTCTTTAGAACAAATAAAAATTATTCAACTCACATGATTTAACCTCTCGGAAAGATTTAATAATTTCCTAATAAGACCCGTCTTTTGCAATCTTTCCTGATTGCTTATTTTTGTTGGTTTTTTGATATTCATCTTTCAATTTTTGTAAAACTGGATCACGTAAACGATATTGTGCCTTCAATTTATCCAACACAGGGTCATTTGATGTTTGAACAACAAATTGTGGTACTTTGTCTGATCCTTTTGAAGAGTCATTTTGAGATATTACTGGAGTGTCACGTTGCTTTAAGATTTGTGTTGCTATTTTTGTTGAATTTACAATGTCCTGAACAACACTCCTTGCTGTGGATTTCAAGGAAGTTACTTTTGTTTCGACTCCTTTGATCTCCTCCTTTACTCTTAATGTTGAACTGCTAAACTCGGCATTCATGCTCTGGGAAGCGGTATTAATATCCCTATCAACTTCATCATAAATTTTCTGATCAATAGTTATTTTTCCTGCTTTGCTATGTGCGTTTGTCTTGATGCCATTCATATTACTGTTCATAACTAAAACAAAATCTTTTTCCAGCTCATTAACTTTTTCATTCAAAGCTTCAAACGATTCATCAGCTTTTTTGATATTTGTTTTAACTGTATCTATAGTTTCTTTAGCATACTCTGAAATTTTATCAATCTTGACCGTAATATTTTTCTCAGCATCCTTTGCAAGTTCGTCAACAAATTTTGTAAGCTTGGAAGGATAATCAGTGCCTAATTTTTTAAGAGATATTATTTTAGCTTCAGTGTCGTCTGATGTTTTCTTTACTGCAGATTTTGCTTTAAGCTCATAGTCCTTAAGAACTATACTAATGTTTTCTCTGGCACGAGATATGCCTATAGCAGCAGTATCACGAACAGCCTTAATAGCGGCGGCTATTGCAGCCTTTTCTGCTTCTTCCTTAGCCTTACGCTCAGCCTCTTCTTTGGCCTTACGTTCAGCCTCCTCTTTGGCCTTACGTTCAGCTTCCTCTTTGGCCTTACGTTCAGCTTCCTCTTTGACCTTTCGTTCAGCTTCCTCTTTAGCTTTACGTTCAGCTTCCTCTTTAGCTTTGCGTTCAGCCTCCTCTTTAGCTTTGCGCTCAGCCTCCTCTTTAGCTTTGCGCTCAGCCTCCTCTTTAGCTTTGCGTTCAGCCTCCTCTTTAGCTTTGCGTTCAGCCTCCTCTTTAGCTTTGCGTTCGGCTTCCTTTTTGGCTTTACGTTCAGCTTCCTCCTTAGCTTTGCGTTCAGCTTCCTCTTTAGCTTTTCGTTTAGCCTCCTCCTTAGCTTTAAGCTCAGCTTCCTCTTTAGCTTTTTGTTCTCTAGCCTTGCGTTCAGCTTCTTTTTTAGCCTTAAGGTCTGTTTTCTTTCTGCTTTCGTCTTTGCCTTGTACAAGCTCCACGATGACCTCAAAACAATATTCGACATGAGGTTTGATATTTGTATTATAAAAGGGAACAATGTGTTTATTATAATTGTCGTGTGCAGTTTTTACTAACTGATCTACAACGGGAGCCACTTTCTCGTTGTATTGAACAATTATATTCTTTTTTGATTCCACCACAAAAGGTATAACCTTATTATTTAACCAAGGTTGAATATGCTTTTTATTATAGATAATCAGTTTTTCATAAGCATGATTGATTTGTTTCTGAGCTTTATTTAGATATGGAGTAACTGTTTTCCTGGCCTTCCCGTAGAATGCATCCACACTATCTTTCGCGTTCTGATTGTAAAATTCCTGAACTTTTATCGCTACTTGGGTAGCAGGATTATATACATATTCGATAGATAATTCCTTAGCTTTTTGTATGTAAGGTTGAGCAGATTCAACGTAAGGGTTTAGACGAGGTTTTGCATGAATCTCATAAGTGCTAAAGGCTTGATTTCCATAATCTGCAGAATAACCTTTAATCTCGAGAACTCCAGGTTCAATATATTTCTGGAACCAATCGTGTGTAAGAATATATTGGGAGACACCATTGTAGCAAAAAAGCTCGACTGGATATGAACACTGTTTGCGGGTTTTGCCATGACAAACGAAAAACACTCCAAGTACGTAAAGGATGAGAAACGACCTAAACGTAAATAGTCCGCCGAAAAATCCAGTTTTCTTTGGTTTCTTACGCTACAATGTAGTTGTTTAAATAAATAAAATATACAACCTTTAACTTCAGCTTTAGATTTTAAATATAATAAAATACCTTTTTTGATGTAGATCCCTTTTTATTTTTTTGCTATTAATAAAAAAGAATTATTGTTATTCTTGTACTTCAAATTGATAACGACCAAACGAAAAAACTACAATGTTCTTAACAAAGACTGAATATAGAGCCTAAGCTACACTCAAGCCTCAAATGCTTTTTTTTTTTAACTCACTTTTTTACCATTTTTTGGATCAGTATTTTGTGTCTCTTTTTCGTCGTATGGTGAATTCTCATTAAAAGATTCTTGAAACTTCGGCTCGTTCAAATGGGCAGCATCACTTTGCTTTTTATTCGGAAGACCATTTATCGGACCAGGAGATTGATCACCGGAAGATATTTTGTCTTGAGGCACCTTCGAAGATTTCTTTGTTTTTTTCTTACTGCTCATTTTCTCTGACGTTGATAGTTGAAAACAAAGATTTCGCGTTAGAAATGAAAATATAGAATCTTTGAGCAGTGAGTTAAACAAATTAAGTTACACTGCAGTCGCCGCATTTGATGAACATTAATCTAATACATAATAATCGAACCAAGAGTTTACATACACGTGTTATTTGCGAGACTTTTTTTTTCTTGTGTCTTCTGTTATCTCTATATCGATATATATATTTTGAAACAGTTGTACAGGCTTGATTGGTCAAGTTTCAACTCAGATTTAGATGGTTCGTTAGCGGCGCGACCTACTGCCACAAGAACTGTACGTACGTACGTACGTATACACGTATGTCATACCGACACGATAATTAGTAGCGTCGACAAACCTGTTTGCAGCATAGAAGTTCATGTGAACATGTTAATCCTTTAGATATAAAACAATCATCTTTTACACTATAATTATCGTTATTGTATAACAATCATTCTATGTACGTACGTGCTTTTATTAATTATATTATTATATTTTTTTATTATATTTTATACCCATGTGAATAAAATTTTTTATAAATAAGCGTTATGGGCATATATAAAATCCATTGTCTTATCACATCTACCAAGCTTAAACAAACATTAAAATCTGCAGGAAGTTGGAGAATCGGTTAAAACAGGTTAAGTTGATTTATCACAGCCAGTAATTTTACCAAAAATAGATATTGATTATAAAAATCTATAGTTTTATATAGAATTAATTAATAATTAACGTTTGTTGGTAAATTTTATTGTTATTTTTGCTTTATTATATTAAGCTTTTATATACAGTATATATTTATATTTTTGAAAACAACTATAGTATATTTAACCGAAAGTAAAATTTCTTTTTTTAATTATTGTTAAAATTTAAAGTTTTTAAGATTTTTATTTTATAAAGTTTTTTTGTTTTTTTTTATTTCAGTTATATAAAAATTTTTATCTTTAATATAAGTTTTAATTTTACAAATAAATTATAAAAATTGTAATAATAAAAAAAATAATTAGTTTATAAGTTATAATATTGTATTAAGGACTATATGAGATCTTTGCTAAAAAATAACTCTTCGAGACTATGTTGATTTTGTAAATAAAAATTAAATTTGCTAGCTATTTAGTTATTTAATTTGAATAAATTTTTTTTATTTTGTAGATTTTATTAAGATTTACAAAATAAAAAAAAGTTTATTCAAATTAAATAACTACAGTACCGGACAGTAAAACGCATCCAATGTTTATTAGTAAAAACTTTAAAGTGTTATAACTTTTTGAAAACAAG